TAGGGATGCACAGATACTTTTCGAGTACCAGTGCAGATACTTGGCATTTTCATGAGAACTACCGGGGTTGCAGCGGTTGCAGCTGGGGCCTGGCTCTGACACTCCACCACTGTCCTGAAATCATTAGTCTGTATTGTTTTAGAAAAACTGTCACATGACAATAAACAAAAATGTATCAGTACTCGTACTTGTAAGTACTCGGCAAGTACCAGTACTCGTACTCGCAAAACCGGTATCTGTGCATCCCTTTATTTATATTTATAAAAACAAAATCGTGCATTAAAACAGAGTTGTACTAATCCCAGGAGCTCCGTGCGCTCCTTACAAATGACAGCTGCCTCCTAACTTTTGAATTTTTCTCTAGTCTAGTCTTGGAGCTCAAAAGTATCGGTACATGTACTCGTACTTGTACCGAGTACTGTACTTGGTATCTGTGCAACCCTAATTTTTACAGTGCTCCAGAAAATGCAAGAAAACAGAAAAAACAGCGCCTTCTTCTGGTGTAATACCCTTTATTAACCATAGATAAAACCAAAGAGCAGCTAACTACTCACATGTACAATGGACATCATAGCGCATACAAAACCAGCAGTACACAGCCTGGGTCTTCGAGACAGTCATTGGAAAGATGATGGACCACCACAGGATCACACAATACACAGCTGACACATTTTGGGGGAGATTCCACCCCCCCTTCCTCACAGGTAATGTAAGACTATCAGCTCTGAGGAAGGGGGAATCTCCACTGTCTACTGCTGGTTTTGTATATGCTCTGATGTCCATTGTACATGTGAGTAGTTAGCTGCTCTTTGGTTCAATCTATGGCTAATAAATGGTATTACACCAGGAGAAGGTGCTGTTTTTTTCGTTTTTTTTTGCATGTCCCATAGGAAGTATCCCAATAGCTTCCAAGATGGCAGCCTTCCTGAATGGTTTCGTTTGTGAGGAGTAAGGATGGGCCCCAGGTGTGTTCGCAGCTCCACGTGCCGAGCCCACCAGGAAGCTGACATCGCACAGCGCCAATCACAGGCACTGAGACATTTCCCGATCTCTGCAGCTGCGGACCCGGAAAATGTCTCAGTACCTGTGATTGGCGCTGTCAGCTTCCTGGCGGGCTCGGCACGTGGAGCTGCGAACACGCCCGAGCCCATCCTTAGTGAGGAGTACTGACTTGAGGACTGACTGTTTCATTTAGCGCTTGATTCTGGAATTTTGTGTGCAGTGCTCCACAAATTGTTCAAAACTTTTTATTTTTATTACCCGCCTCTAATTGGTACTTCTCCAAAATGTTCACTTTACGTTGACTTGATCTAAGGTCTTTATGAAATTGGGTGTTTATATGTTATCTGACATCCTCTGGCACCATCCAGAGACAGTGCTGTTTGTTTTGAGATTTTGTGACAGTTTCATTGTGCATAAATGAACTCCTATCAGCTAACTATAATTACTATTTTGGGGTTTCACAGCAGTAGACACGAATACATTTGCAGTCATGACTGTAGGTCTGGAGGTTAATACTTGTGCATTGAACTGTACTGGACTAATGCCCATAAACACATGTATATGGTTATATAAGTAATTTATTTCTTGTTTTAGAATCAGCATTGGATCTGAGGGTGGGAAATCCTTTCATTCTTCTCCGACAAAAACCTTCCCAGTTGATCTCCTATTTGGTGTTTGAACGTCAAGTCTCTCTTGAAAGGTAATTTCTCTCTGTGCTTCAAGTCTTCTTTTGTGAATTCACAAAGCATTACACCTTTTTTTGTTCTTCATTATGTTATTGCAGTGGTGGTTTTTGTAACAGTACTACAGTATGCCCTACAGTAGACCTGTCTCTTTTTCCGACATTTTGATAGTTACTGGCGCCATACAAACCTGTATTTTTATGAGTTTTGGCTTTCAATGTGCAATAACTTGCATAATATTTTTTCATTTTTTATTCAATAACTTTTTTTTTCTTCCAACAAACACATATACCATCAAATATCACAATACAGAGCAAGCTACATCCCCAAAACAGTAAAACAAAAACACCAAAGTAAACCCAACCTAAAAAGTTACACATTTTAATCTATCTTATCCCTCTATGCATTGTAGCCCCTTCTCTCCCACAACCTCTTACAACTTTCACATGTTTCTTGATGGGTGCTGTGCATATGTTGTTCTGTGGATGGCATTACCTCTTGTATTGTTTGATTAAGCAGTATTTTTTATGTGATCTTATGTACACTCATTGATCTATACCTAGTGCATTATATGACCAGCATACCAATCATTCCATTGTGGATGGTTCTAGTAGGATACTTAAATTGGCCACTGCTCTCTGCACACTGGACTGTATATGACATACTCCTAACCAGTGGACTCTGTTCACTGGGCTGAATTTGACTGCTCCTGACCACTGCACTCTGTACACCGGGCTGTATACAGTATGACATAATCCTGACTTCTGTACTCTCTATGCTACATTGTACAACCGTGACTATAACAGTCAGTGTCAGTGACCATAATCATATTCACTTACTGTGTTCCTTAGTGTGCAGAAAAGCATATGTAATGGAAGAGTTTAATTCTTTTAATATAGATTGTGCTGAGGTTAGTACATGTCTATTAGATTAACACCTATGGCACAATAATTAGAGCATAATTTGTAGTAGGGATGCAACTAATGATTATTTTTATAATCGATAAGTTGGCCAATTATTTTTTCGATAAGCGGATAAAAAAAAATTAAAAGTACAATCCTTCATTTTAAATAAAATACACAAATACAGTGTTACAAACATAAAGTTTACTTCAGAATAAAGCTGCAGGCACAATTTTTTTGCAATTGCACTGCACTGGAACTGGTACCGCATTGCTGTACCGTGCGTTCCAGTGTGGGTGATCACACTGTGGGTGGGAGGCGCATTTGGGGTGCCATTGAAATGAATGGCACCGCAACGCACTTCCCACAGCAGAATTTGTGAGGCCGAAACCAAAAATGACTTTTCGCATTATTACCAAAAACCAAACCATCCTTATTGGTTAGACAGATAAAATGCCTTGTATCTGTGTGTGTATGTGTAGCTATTAAACCTGCTTTCTTGAATCAAATAGGTTGTCATTAATACTGAAGAAAGAAAATCTGCAACTGAATGTTATGCAAGTGATTGTAGATTACTGCTGTGAAGCTTTGTCTTTTAGCCATCCCAGGAAACTGAATAAAGAAAAGTCCCTTGCATGCAGTCTTCAGCAATTAATGCAGCAAAGTCTGGAGATATGTTTTCCTGACATTCACATCACAGTTTCTACATGTACTAAGGACTGCGAGGACAGCATGCAGAGTAAGCCAAATTCTCCTGCTTCTGACTACTGCCAATACTCCCTCACAGCATCAACCTTAAACTTTTTGAAAAGCAAATCCAATGTAACAGCAGTTCTAACATGTTTAAGTGTTATTAAAAGTCAGAAGCCACCCAAGTCAGGACTGTCATGGATGGATTTAAGAAGCAGTAGAAAAGAAAGTCCTTTAGACATGGACACTATTTCTTTGGAATGTGACTTGATGCTTTCAGAGTTTCCAATTTTTCAGAGGTATATTCATTTAATGTCTGCACCTTTTCGGGAGGATCTTCAAGACCCCAGTTCGCCAAGTAGTCCTTTGTGTGGCAAGCCATGTTGTGCCTTGGTTCTTTTAGGTCTTCATGCCTCCTCTTCTGTTGCTGTAATTGAAGCTTTTCAGGAAGCACTTTCAAAGAAGGATTGGACAAATGCATTGCAGATTATGAATCACTATACTTGTAACATTGATGGTCTTGAGGAAGTCAGAGATGCACTTCTTTGCTGTGCTGCTGCAGAAGGTAATTTTCCCATTAAATCACTGGTAAGAGATTAGCATATATTGTTTTTTCATTAGTTCAGTCTCAGTTATGATTTAGAAACTGTGGAAGTTGTTAGGTAGTCCACCATAATTGCCAGGGGTGCATTGATTATTGACTCAGAACACAAACCAGAGGATCTGAATAGTATACTACATCAAATTGATTATAGAATAATGGGAGGATGTGCTGCACTTACCACTTCATGTGGACAGATTGTGTTCAGTTTATAAAAATAAAATAAATAATATACAGTCATCTATAGTGTTGTAACACAGAAATTTAAATGTTAATATATATATATACTGCCTGGCCCAAAACCTAACCCCAATTGATGCAGGGAGTAGCTTCTCATTTCTTAAACAACCATGTCAGAAGACATATATCCTGTGGTCGTGGAAAAGATGTAACTGTTTAGGAAGGGTCAAATTATTTGCCTGCATCAACAACTAAGGAGATTGCTGAAACTACTAAAATTGGGTTAAGAACTGTACACCTCCATTATTAAGGTCCCATTCCCACCAAAACCACTTAAAAACACATTGCATGCTTTTTAAGTGGTACCATCACTCCTATTAAGAGATATGTTTATGTGCTTTTACATGCATTGCAGTGTGAAAAAATGCAGCATGCTCTATTTTTCAAACCGCAACGAAGCACACTTGTGTGAACTACATTAAAAATCCACTATTTTTTGTGTATATGCGTTTTCTAATGTGCTGGGAATGGGCCCTAAAATCAGGAAGGATAGTGGTGAACCGTCATCTTTGAGGAAGAAATGTGGTAGAAAAAAAATACTGAATGATTGTGATCGATGATCGCCTAAATGTAGTCCGCCAGCCTGTATTGCTGGCTGCAGCCCTATCAGGTATGAGTTAATTACCCTGTCTATGAGTGTCTTGCTGACTGCAGCACTAGCCTAGTGTGCTGTGGCTTAATAAATCTGATTACACCTCCAGCTCTGGCATTGGTCTTGTCTCTGGTGGTGCCCTATTTAAGCATCATCAGCCTGTGCCTCTGTGCTTGTGATAGTTCTTGCTACATTAGCCTGTGTCCTCGCTCACTGTATCTTGCCTCTGGAAATCTCCTTGTCTGTGGCCGGTTCTGACCTTAGCCTGCCCCTGGATTACACTTTGCCCGCTGCCAGCCCTGATGTTAGCTTGTGCCTGGATTACTCTTTGCGAGCCGCCCTTCCTGACCTTAGCCTGAGCCCGGATTACTCTTTGCCAGCAGCCTGCCCTGACCTTAGCTTGTGCCCAGATTACTCTTTGCCCAAGCTCGTCCCTGAAAAAGCTCTGATTTGTGTCTTTATCTTCAGTCCGTATCTCTATGAGGCCTCACTCAGTCGGAGCATATAGTCCATGTTCTGGGGGCATCCAAGTACTGGTAGGTGCACTGTCCCAAGGCAGAGTCACTGCCCTCATTAGAGGGCTCTTTAACCCCTTCAGTTGTGGTTCCCTCTTTCATATCAAGAGCTGTGATTTCTACTACGATGTTTGAAATTATGTTAAGATTTTAGCCATGTTAAAAGGATTTGACCGCAGGGGCTGCACATGAGCCTCCTCTTCATGTCTTCCAGAGTCTGTCTCTGATCTTCTGCTGGCTGCAGATGCTTCTCTGGAAATGCTTCAGCTTGCTAAAATTTTTTGTAACAAAAAAGAAACAAAACTGTCCCTCTAGAGGACTTTTTATTGTTCAGGGACCTTGTGGACTAAAATGCTGGAAGCCTTATCTAAGACCTTGATCTCCCATGCAGGGCCTGCCATACAACCTGCTATGGTGGCTATGTCCATCTGCCAAACTCTATCTGTTAGGTCCAAGGCCATGTCAAGGGATTCTAGATCTATACTGACAGATCCTTCTGTTCAGCAATCGAAGAACCTGCCTGTGGCTCTGCATTATTGTGTGTCTGGGCTAGGGTATATTATTCACTAGGTATGCAGAATAGGCCTCCTTTCAGTGCATGTGGCAGACCCTTTGGCTTAAATACTAGCCTGAAGATTTTCAGTGAAAAAAGCATTTCTTGCAAATGCTCTTGGAGATTACCTTTTTTTGGCAAATCCTTGGACGCCATTATTAAGGAAATCACGGTGAAAGAGTACCATTTTGCACAAAGAAAATTAAGGCAAATCCACCAACAGTTAAACCCTCTGCTCCTGAGATAATGAAAAGAGTTCATTTCATTTCAATTAGAGTGCACTCCCACTTGTCAGAGTGGGGAGCATCTGTATGGAGTCCACCATGTCAGTTATTGCTTTACTCCACCTGGGAGACCTGGCCTATGTGAGCATCAAGATTGCGTACTTGTATATTCACATCTTCCAGCAAATCAACACTACCTGTGTATTGCTGTGGGCACACAATATTACCAAATAGTTGCCCTTTCCTCTGGCCTGTCACCAAGGTGCTAGCCCCTTCTCTAGATCCTTTATTTGCAGGGCATCCCAATAGCGGTATCATATCTGGATGACCTTCTTCTGAGGGAACAGTCAGTTTAAACCTCCAACGGACCATCCTCGCCCTACAAAGATTTGGGTGAGTTGTAATTCACCAGAAATCGGCACTGAATCCGACCCATCACTTTTGGGCCTAGTCTTGGGTACAGTCCTGTCCAGGGTTTATCTTTCTCTGAACAAATCGCAGTCTCTCCACTCCCGTGTTTGCACTCTGTGGTCTGGGAGCCACTGAACTTTCCCTTTTGCATGATAGTATTGGGCCTGATTGTGGCCTCCTTTTGAGGTCTTATATCCCCAGTTTCTCTCCAGACTGCTGAAAGTTAACATTCTGGCAGAATAGGACAAGTGGGGTCTGTCTCATTTGCATAACCAGTAGGACGAGGCTTGCCCTGGCGTGATGGATCTTCAGTGCTGGAATCAGCAAATTCTTCTTCCAGATGGTCTGGAAGGTGATCACAATGACTGCCAACCTGGGGACTGATAGTCATCAGTGGAAGCTCTGTTCCAGATCAGTATACTGGAACCCAGGGCAATTTGGTTGTCTCTTCAATGCTGGACCTCTTGGCTGCAAGGTAACTTGACTGATTCAGTCAGACAATGCTATTGAAGTGGTTTAACATAAATCAGCATGAATGCAGCAGAAGTCTTGCAACTTGAATAGAAGCGGATCTGATTCTAATTTGGGCAGAGATTTACATTCCAGCCCTGACTGCCATGTACATCCCAGGTGTGCAACATGTGTAGATAGACTTCCTAGTCATCTGGACTCCGAAAATGTGTCTTTTACACCCTGTAGTGTTTCCAAAACCTCTTTTGCAAGTGTGGGATGCAGGATGTGGACCTTGTGTCCTCCCAGGTTCAACAAAAAGCTGAGCAGGTTTGTCTCTGGATCCAGGGATTCTATAGCCTTTGCAGTGGATACTTTGGAGACTGTTCAACCTGAACTACAACTTTTACTCTTCACCAATTCAACAGGTTCAAGGTCGAGTGAATTCTGGTGATTCTGATTGCACTGATCTGGCCCATGAGCATGTGGTTCTCAGACCTCGTCAAGCTCCTGACAGACTGTCTTTGGACCCTCCTGGACCATGTGGATCTTCTGTCACTGGGACTGTCACTACTTCTTAGTCGCTGGCTTAAAGGCTTGGCTCAGGTCCTGAGGCACAGGGCATATCGTATTCAGTTATTCACTTATTCAGTTGCTCCTGACTGCTAGGAAATTTACTTCTCGCATAGTCTACCACTGGACTTAGAATGCGTATTTCCTTTGGTGCAAGACAAGAAAATTATATCACAAGAAGTTCTCATTAGGTTGAATCCTGTCTTTTCCCCAATCTGGCCTTGAATACCATAAAGGGTCAAATTTCCTGTTCGGTAAGTTTTACCAGATGGATGTTCAGTCCGCAACTTCATTTGTAAGGCTCTGTTGAGCCCCTCTGGTAACCTGTTGGTTTTTGTTGGCCTGTTAGCCTTTTGTTTTCTTTGCCCCCAACCCCTGAGTTGGGGTGCTTTTGGATGTCCCAAAGTACCTGAGTACTTCTCCTGTGTCCTGTAATGCACAACTAAGAAAACAGGATTTTTATTTTACCTGTATAAAATCCTTTTCTTGGGGTACATTACAGGACAGCGGTACCTCTTCTGTTTCTTATGTTCCACTCCTTTTAGTTTTTTTCATGCTACAAAACTGAGGCTTGTTGGGAGTGTGAGGGATTTTACTGAGCTGTCCTTAAAGCTCTTGTATGCCAGTGTCCATCTCCTGAACGCAGCAACATAACCCAATGTTCCTAAATCCTTCTCCTGTGTCCCATAATGTACCCCAAGGAAATAATTTTACAGGTAGGACAAAAATCAGTTTTCCATAGTCCAATCATCATTAGAATATGTGCGGCTTCATTCATTAGCTGTGCATAGAACATATGAGTTGTTTCCCATAGAATGTAGTTAGAGGTTATTTTGTATCTTTTTTCCCAAAAAGATTGTTGTTAAATTGGTTGCTGGTTTGAAATCTTAATTCTGAGTCACCTTTGTGTTCTCATAATATCCCTTACATTTATGTTGTACTTTGTTCCCTTGAAAATTATTCACATCTATTTTATTTTGTTCTCTTTAGAAACAAATGGCTGGAGATATCTTTTTGCTGTTAACAATGCCACACTGAGAGTGAGACTGGCTCTTAGTTTTTTGGACAAATGGCCATTGGATTCTTGCAGGGAGTTACTGGCTTATTGTTTATGTGAAACTGATATTGAAGAAAATCTTAAAATGGAACTTAAAAATAAAAGGAAAGAAGTGGAAGTGTATAGAAAGGTAACGCTATTCATTGGCTGAATCTGGTATTGGATACAAGTCTGAGAAATTGCTCATAATCAGATTGTGTTAAATGGAGGCTGACAGGTTTCAAAAATGTTTGGTCCTGAATGGTAAAAGAGTAAGTGAAGATATTACTTGAACCTTCAGAACTCACTGCTGACTAAAGATGGTATTACAATATGCCCTTTGCCCACCAAGGAATAGACAAATTGATATGGCTAGTGGCTTTCTAGCGTTTCTTGAGTTGTCTTCTCCTTATAGTTCCCAGCTGTGCACCATTAGTAAGGTTATTCCAATGTGAAGTGCTGCTGCCATACTCTTCCTGAATGAGTCTTCATAATGTTGTATAACTTGGCCAAAAGGGTTTGACAAGTTTTGGAAAGTAAGAAAGTTGTGACACCTACCCATAACATAAAGTATTTTAAATTGGTATTTTAAAAGCACCAATACAGGGGTTTTTTCTGTATTACTTTTTTTTTTTTCTACAAAGGGGGTGAATATTATCAGATTCTATGTATGGGACTTTCATACTTGAAAATGTCCACGTTGAAAGCCCAACGACAGTCAAAGCATTTTTGGGGGGGGGGATTGGGTCAAAATAGGTTAGAACATTTAGTGCTGTCTGTGCCCCATTGAGAAGATTTCTCTCACATTTTTATTTCTCTGACACAGGAACAAAAAATTTTTTTGGGGTAGATAAAAAAAGTGGGGATGTGGCAGAACCACTGTCACACTGGTATCGTTGGCTGCCATGCTGTAGTGGAAATTCCTGGTATCTAATTTCTTGTCCTGGTTTCACATGTCTACAAAGTAGTGGTAATCACTCCCTATTAAAGGTGCAGCAATGAAAACATTGGATTTTACTGTAAGTGATGAATCCAGTTTTTTAAACAATGAATGCTTATGACTTTTCTGCTTACTAGATTCTATTCCTGAAAGAAGATATAGCTCAGTCAAGCCGGCAAGATTTAAAGGAAGATTGTATCAAAGATCCAGAAGCCATAATTCAACTCATTTTAAAAACTAAGGTATGGTAAATTATGTTTTATACACATCATATAGAGCAGTGTTTTTCAACCTTTTTTGTGCAAAGGCACACTTTTTTCATGAAAAAAATCACGAGGCACACCACCATTAGAAAATGTTAAAAAAATTTACCTCTGTGCCTATATTGACTATATATAAAGTAATTCTCTTGAATAGGAATCAAATAAACACAAAGAAATTATTTTATAATTACTTTATTATGAAATAATAAAGTATTTTATAATTGTTCATATTTCTGTTCAATCCATGACATACAAAACTACATTGGCAACAGCACTGTATTCGGCTTAATCCTTCGGCTCAATAGTGAATAACCCTCTAAGTTTTGTCTCCCAACTTTAAGGAGAAACCCTGCCCCTAAAATTGGGGGGGGGAAAGGGTCCCCTCTAGAATTCCCAACCAGGCCCTTAATCTGAGCACAGACCTGAAAGGAAAGGGGGGGGAGCGAGTGCCCCCCCTCTCCCTGCATAATAGCAGGCCACATGACCTCTGCACTGGGACAAAAAAAAAACCCCGACACCTGCCGACCCGACCACACGCGACGAACTCCCGCTGCAAAATGACATTCTGACAGATGCCAGTAAAATATTTGTTTACATTTGTCCAGCACCTGTCACAATCTTCCCGCAGGTCCCGAAAATATCAAAAGAAATGGGTGTAGTCGGCCGTGACATCACGGCCAGCTCCGCTCAGTTGTTGTCATTAAGTGACAGCCTGGTGTCCTCAAATGACCTGAGGATGCTGGGCTGTCATTGAATGACAACTGGGCGAGGCCAGCTGTGACATCAGGACTGGCTCCGCCCAGTTGTTTTACATTTGTGGGGAGAACGGTCTGCTTTGGCAGACAGTTCTCCCCACTACAGTTGTGACTTCATCAACTCAGCCAAGCTCAAGCATATGCGTTTGGCTCGTCTGAGCCCTTGCCTGCTATCGGCTGCTGTATGGGCTATTGTGAATAGCCCATACAGCAGCCCTTCGGTTCTGAAAATCGGGACTGAACCGGAGAGCTCCGGCAGGTGAATTAAGCCGAAGGATTAGTCGATGCTTCGGCTTAATCGTTCGGCTCAATAGTGAATAACCCTCTAAGTTTTGCCTCCCAAATCTGTAAGGCCACCACTTGGTTCTCAATTCACAGCTTCACCAAGTTCAGGCCTCTGTTGATGCCAAATTTGGCCGGAAGGTTCTTCAGACAGCCCCGTGACTTGTTCTAGTTTTTGATGCCCTGTTGGGGTTGTTTTCTTTGGGTCTGTTAGCCATTGGTTAGCTGTGTTGTCCACCCCTCTGTTGGCCTGCTTTTGATTGTCCTAGTGGTCTAGGAGTTGTTTCCCTGTGTCCTTTGAGGTATTTTTTTGTCTTAACTGTAAAATCCTTTTCTTGAAGTACTTCACATCTCTACCATGCAGAAAGCTAATTTGCCGCCTTCTTACCCACTGCACCTGGAAAGCCTTATTCAAATGGTGTGAGATTCTGTCCTAACTCTAAAACCGTTTTGGTCGCTACAAATCTCAGCTTTCTCCATTCCAGCATGAATAACTGCTTGCTTCTAATTTAGAATATGCAGTGTGTAAGAACTAGCTTCAAATAGTAGAGCATTAGGAACACATCCGTTTGTTGGAATAAAGTTTGCAAACGATAATGCAGTTGCTCTTTTACGGGTTGTCCAACATCTCATGGCACAAATAAAATATGAATTCAGTCTCCTGGCTTTTATCTTGCAGCAGCGCTGCTCTGGCCTCAGACCAGGCCCTTGTGTGTTTCCTCCAGACAGTCTTCAACGCACAACTCGGTGCATACATGTACCATCTATGGCTACTCTCAGCTTCACTGGCCTCCACCCTAACTTCTGGGTGAGGCCCTCCTGACTTCTGGACAGAGACTTCCTCTGTCCGCCAGGTGAAGTCCTGAACCCTAGCGAGCATCCATACCATAAGGGCTGTGCACAGCTGCACAATTGGTGGGTGCTGGTTCTTACCAGAACATGGACCAAGGGTTGTGGGGGTCATCCCACCCAAGTAACTACAAAGCCTCAAGGTTCCAGAACCCTAACCAGTTTTTACCAACCTTGGCAAAAACTGGCTTTTCAGCCATATGAAACATAACCCTGTAGCCCCTCAGCCTGTATGGGTGAGAACACTGGGTGACCTGTAACCCTTATCACAATGTGACACAGCACTGCACTGTAACAAGGGGTATAGCTAGATGGGGCTTATCCTTTGGTTTTACCTAGTGTCAAACCTTCTACAGGCAGCACCTATACACAGGTGTTAAAGGTTGTCCTCCTTGGAAATACTAATACAGTAATACCTTGGTTTACGAGCATAATTCGTTCCGGAAGCATGCTTGTAATCCAAAGCGCTTGTATATCAAAGCGAATTTCCCCATAGGAAATAATGGAAATTCAGACGATTCGTTCCACAACCCAAAAATATTCATATAAAAATGAATACAATACTGTACAAAATATAAAGAAAAATAAACTGATTACCGGTACGTTCGTGGCTGGTGTGAGAGGGACAAGAGAGAGGAGGATTATTGTGTAGGACGACTTTCACTATCACTAACGGAATCACTGCTATCTCTTGACTGAATGGAATCTTTTTCATTTCGTGAAACCTTAACAAGGTATCTATTCAATGTGACATTGCATTGGTGTTAAACAGACTCATCGCTCGCACTGCTACAGCCTTATTCGGTGGTGCTTTTCTGAAGAATTTTGCTCTTATTGCAAGACATTGCTTGTATATCAAGGCAACATTTTTCAGAAATGTTTGCTTGTCTTGCAAAACACTCTCAAACCAAGTTACTTGTAAACCAAGGTATTACTGTATTGGAGAAATTTATGAGATGCAGTAAGTATCAAAACCCCATTTTCCTATTGAGACATTGGGTTTTTTTTTTTTTAATCATGCATGCGGTCAATAATGAACAGCAGGAGCAAGTGCAAAGTGCCCTTTATCTAATGTATATTTTTCAATACATGCTTTTAAAAAGTTGATTAGGTTTGATTGATTTGATTCTTTATTAGACCATTCCCGCCGACCATATGCAAATATGTTGCAGCACAGAATAGGTCACACCTACTGTATGTGCTGCCACATTTATGCACACAACTGGCAGGAAGGGCTTTGTGTTGTGTGCCATAATACTACTATTTGGAATTATCTGTGAGCCTTCCCTGCAACAAGTTAATTGATTCTGAAATTTTCAAATAGACTTTTGCTTAATGTTTTGCATTTGAAGCCATACTTGTCTAATGTCTAATTTTGCTTTATAGGATTATAAGTTATGCGAAGATTGGGGGCTTTTTTATCCAATTCCAAAGGATCTTTTCATAGATGTTTACCTTGACCATTTGCTACATCTCCTAGACAACAAAGACACAGAAAGATCTCTCCAGGTACCATACAGTGAACGAACAGTTCCAAAGTGAAAACAAATGATAGTGTCTAAAATCTAAATGCCTTGCTTAAAGTTAGCCTTTTTTTTAGGCTTCATTCATATATGGTGTGGCACGAAAACATGCAATTTTTAACATACACGCAGATTCCGCTCGTTTGCGGCTATTGCTTAAGCCGCAAATGTGGGGAATATGCCCCTAAAGTCATGTTTGGACTATTTTGCAGGACACGCAGTTTCGTACCGTGCGGACGCCGCAATAATCTGTACAATGCACATTGAAATGCATTGTGTTTTATGTTTACGAATACATGCAGAAAACCGATCATGTTTGAATGGAGCCTCAAACAGAAATATTATCTTGCCTAATTGTATTTTGCAAAAGTGACAGGTTTGCATTAAAAATAAAAGATCTTACAATTGACAGAAATCTGCTTTCCCATACTTCTAATCTGCAGTGTTTGTTGGAATAGCTACAACCCCTGTTGTCTATTTCCCCTTTTGCAGATTTTCCCTTAGTTCCTGTCTGGTAAAATGTTGTCAACACAACTGGAAGTTAGTGAAAATCTCTCTAACAGAGCATTGGATAGCAGTAAAGCCTAACCACTCTTCCAATCTTACCTCATTCTATTCAAAACAAAATATTTTTTTTGGGAATATATACATTTTGCAGTTTGTTATTACCTCATTGCCTGTTTCAAGACCAACTGTGTGTTCCCCTTAAGTCCTTTCACAGTAAGTGTATAGGAAGTGAGAAGATTCACCACATCAAGAATGCAGCCATAAAAATTTGCAGATGATGCATTCCTTTCCCATTCTACTAAAACAAGGCCATAACTGCTCTGTGTATTACTGTTGGTGAGATTTCCCTGTCTTTCTATCCTGGTGAAAATGCAGGAGGTTAGTAGAAAACTTCCTAATGGGGTCAGACTTTAATAAAACCCCCCCAAAAAAATATAATCTTTCCCTAAAAGTACCTAAAGTAATATGATTTCATGCTTTTTGTTTTTTTTACTTTTGTTTTCATGACTGTGGCCTGTATGTACAGTATTATACTTATCTTCAGGGAGAGTAATTACGATATATTATGTTTTATCTATTTTTTTCCAGTTACTAAAAAGAATCGATGACAAGAATATACAGCTGGCTGTCATTGAGCGGGCTCTACTGCAGAATCCATGCATATTTGCTATACATTTTTTGTCAGAGTACCTGGTACTACATTTTAAAAACTACCTTCTGGAAATACGTTGGCGTGAAATAAGAAACCTATACATGGGATCGAAGGTAAGTCAATCAGAAATGTTTGACCGGCATGCTTAAACTTATGCGTGTGACTAAGCCAGACATTCCTTTTTTAAATAAGCGCTTGTATTGGAACGCACAGGCTAACTGCTCACATATTTTAGTTCTGTATGTCTGTGTTAAAACATTAAATTTTTAAGCTGAAAGCTCAAACTATAATTATATTTTATATTATGATAAAATTATTTTTGCTCTTGCACACACTTACTCTTAACACTAATTCAAATTTCTTTAAACTCTAGCTTTGGGATTCGTGACTGCATTAGGCATTCAGGGTTAATTTCAGTCTGTAGCAGGCGTTCAGAGGGCTAAGATAGATAAGCAAATGCTTCTTACTGCACAATGGGGATCTGTGACTAGATGATCCTGAGGTCTGACTTTAGTCCTTCTATACTGGAAACCTCACAATTTAGTTTTCATAATCATCTCCCCTAATGGGATCCTCTTCTACCCCAAGTCCCACAGCAACCGCATGGGCTGCTATGGCTCTTATTACCCCCACTAGGTGTGGTAGTGTAATACTCAAGGTACTCATCTTGGCTATATATTGTGCACAAAATTATTCAGAGGG